GAGCAGTAGGGCTTGAAGGAATATTTGGTTTAATAACAGTAATATGTGGCATGTTGTTGTTGCATCTTATAATTGGTATATCACATCCAGGTGGATATTTCGATATCATAACCGGATTTCAACAAATTATTAGTTTTAAACAAATTTGGATTTCCGGTATTTTGATATGTTTTTCGATAGCGTTTTTCAATTTCTTTGGCCTCAGTGTTACGAGGAGAATTAGTGCAACTGCTAGGTCTACGATTGACACCAGCAGAATCGTCTTTATTTGGATAGTGTCTTTGTTTCTTGGGTGGGAAGCATTCTCTTGGTTACAAGTCATTGGTAAGTTTGGGTAAACAAATATTTATCATTGCATTTCGTTATTTTAAATGTCGATTTTTGATTTTATTCCTTTTATAGGATTCATTGTTCTCATTTGTGGAACCTTTATTTTTAATAATGTCATGAGGCCTCCACCATGTTTCACCGTACCGCCGGCGGCTCAGACTAACGAGGATCAACCTTTATTGCCTGAGGATCATGAGCACAATTAGAAAAAAAAAACTAAAAAAAAAAATAATGCGTATTTAAATTGTGTACTATAATTTTCATGATCGGGCAATCCGTGTTTCGGCGCAAATTGGCTTTTTTTCCTTTTCTTTATAGACAATTGGCATTTAAATATGTTTTTCTCTGAATAATTATAATTATAATAATAAAGATATACATTATATACTCATACGGTTGTGACAGAAGAATGCGAAGCTTTTTTTCATAAAAAAAAAATTTTTTTTTAATTTATCTTTAATTTTACAAAATTTTTTTTGAGATTATGTAATAGTACACACCGTATATACAAACCTCAGCTAAATTAATAAATATTCGAGTTATCAAAGGGATGGAGATCTTTGATTTTTTTTTAATAAACAATTGTATATCAAAAAAACAAATAAAATACATGTCTAGGTGACTAAATAAATAGATCTGGAAGATAAAGTTACGACAATCATACGTTAGACGTCGTACCCCGAAATATAATCAACATCGTCCTCTAATCTTTATCCCTTCTTTTATTTCAGTAGGAACTGGCATATTCAGGGCCTTATACCTATCAGCCAGCTTCTGATATGCATGTGGATGACCTTTTTGATGTGCTTTTTTCATCCATAACGCACCTTGTTCCAAATCTTGTGTCACGCCGTGAGCCCCATTAATCAATAAATCACCGAAATTAAACATCGCGTTGGGATTTCCTTGATTTGCGGCCTTTTCTAAATTTTCGATAGCAATTTTGTCGTTTATCGC